TTAAGTAACGATATTGATTTTTTTTTGTTTCTATTTGTTTATGTTTGTTTTGTTTGTTTGTTTGTTTATTTTATTTATTTATTTATTTATTTATTTATTTATTTATTTATTTATTTTTATTTTTTTCTAAATATGTAAAGAGTGTATTTTGTATACGATGCACAACAAAATTCAATATTTTCGATTAATCTTCATTTTTGAGCCGGCGTTTGCAATATATGAATAAAATAAATCGAAGAGACTCAACATGGATTATATCTAATTGGATTTGAAATACACCCAGATGCCATAGGCATATGCATGTATGCAACCCATTAATCATCAGATGATTGCATCAGATGACTAACCTAATAAAAACGCTGATACTGATTAAATATATGTAAATGCATGAACAGTTAGCTTTATTTCAAATGCCTCATATTGAATTTATAATGCTTTTGGTTAATAAAAATATTTTGATTGAAAGAACTTGTTGATAAATTCCTTTAAATATGTGTCCATATTTCATAAAATTTCAGATAAAAAATGTTGCCACGATTACTACAACAAATGGTTTCTTTTCCTTTTTAAATAAGAAACTCATTCTCAATTTTCTTTTTCTTTGCATAAAATTTTGTCAAAGTATGGGATACTACCACATACGTGAACTATGCAGATGAAATTTAAGGAGATAACGCACAGTATTCAAGCTCTAAAGTCCATTAAACAATAAAAATCATGGTCATATATGTAGCAAACACGGACCTCTAAAACATCAGATGTAGGATCAGGTTTCAGATACATGTAGTATATCAAAAAGGATATATTACAATAGCAAGTACATTTCTCCTAGTTATAGTAACATGTAGTCCAAAACAGTCCTGCTCAAATTTAGGAGTGGCTTTGTTACTAGTACTAGTATTTGAAACATTAAATGTGAACAAAAACACCGCTCCGTGGTAATAAGAAAGCTCTTACATATTATACTTTTTAAGGGAGCACAATAGGCAAACTGAAATACATTTTATGTGAACTATTAAAGTACATGTAGTTTTCATCACCTTCTTTGATCAATTAGTTACATGTGTCATTATTTTTCAGTTCTCGACTCAAGGGAAGAATCATCCGAGTATGAATTTGTTTTGAGTCATGACTCACGAAGATACTGGCCAAGAATTACGCTGACTTCAAAATCTGCATTAGAATCTATGAAGATTTATTTCAACTGGATTGCGGACGAACCTGTACAATCCAAGTTTACTGGAGGAAATTGTTTAGTTGGGATTAATAAGTCCTCTGAGAATCATTCTACGACTTACACTCCAGTTATTCAAAACTGTAATCACCGTATTGATGATTACTTTAAATTTGGCTTTAATAAATCTGGTGAGATTGTTCAACTTCATTCAGACATGTACTGCTTTTCTGGGAATGACGAATATAAGAAGTACTTCACATCTAACTGTACACTTTCTGGACCATTTCACCTCTCATACGTAACATTTTACGAAAACAAAATGGCTGCCGACAATGTTCAACTACTTTATCTCAATTACATGTTCAGTCCTGTGGGACCTTGTTCTTACCAATGTATTGCAGATTTGAAAGAATGGTTTTTCTCAATCATTTAGCATAGTACAGATTTAATGAAAATTTCTAAAGTAATAATACACGTTATGCATCATCTTCTCTCTCTTTAAGTAATGACTAATATTATGAAAACTTACAGCACTGTTCAGGCTGTCTGGGGGCATACAAATATCTATACTTAACGTATTTAATGTCATGGGACTGAATAAATTGTTTTCAGATAATGTTATCTTAAAGTTCATTTAATCAAATTTTCCTGTGTAAGAGTGGTTCACACAGTACACAACGTCTTTATCGTGGTTAACAACACTTTAACGTCTTTCACAGTAGCCTGCCTTATTTCTTACTATATGCTTTTTCTTTTTTCTTTTTTTTTTTCTTTTTTTTTTTTCTTTTTTTGTTTTTGTTTTTTGTTTTGTTTTGTTTTTTTTTTTGGTTTTTTTTTTTTTCATCAAGTTTAGTTGTTAATGGTGCATCAGTGTCTCTTTCAAGTAAAATATCGAAACACTCCACAACTCAACGTAATATTTTCCCACAAAATGTTTAAACCTGAGAATGAATTTTCAAATTTTAACAAAACAGCAAAGACTTTATTAAGTTAAAATCATCATGTATCAATCAGCTGAAAATATCTACGTTACACTATTTGTATTCTTTTTTTTTTCATTTTCCTTTCTTAATATATTTTATCTTTTTTATTTCTTACTATATCTTTATTATGTGTTTTCTTCAATTTAGTTTATAGAAAAATACGTCAATGAAATATTAAGATTGGGTAATATTGGAAAGGCTATGATCATTTCTTAACTCATTTATGGTGAAATATCATTTGGAATATGTCAAAGGATTCATTAGTTTAGCCCATTAACATTCTAACAAATATATATTAACAAAATTAAAATAACAGCAAACGTTCGAAGCAGCTCTATGACATATTGTGTATAATGTTTTCATGACAGATCCCATCCATCCTCCTTTTACAGCCTCATAGTCTATGCGTGTCTTGATTTAGAATTCAAAATAATAAAATAACCACTATACTTACAGTTCTATTGCTTTGTGAGCTTTACAGACCAATTTTAAAGAATGTAAATAACATGAAAATTTATGCATTCAATGTAAATATGATCATGATTTTTTTTTTTCATCTTTTAGAAAAAAAAATTAACAATAATAAAAAAATAATGTATTATACTTTCAAATAACTTAAGCATTTGTAATAAATGGTCAAAATAATAAACAATAATTGTTTTGGCAATAAACTACATTGTGTAATGGTACACATTTTTAGGCGTTTTTCCTCAACATAGATGCTTTTATTTATGATCATTCTTTGAAATTTTTCTAATTAACTTTCACTTTCAAGGAAAATGTTCTGTAATGTAGAAAATAATGTACTGTATAATCCGAACGAATTAGACCTGTAATATAAAACTCCTATTAACTAAAAGCTTATCGATCTAAATTTAACAGTGTTGAGATTTTTCTTCTTTTAATTTGTGAACAAATTACAAACAAGTCATACATTAAAGGATAGATGAAACTTTGACATTTTGAAACCTACGAGAAAAAAGCTTTAATTTTGAATCATTCTCCGATTGAGGCACATGACTTTTTGGGGAGGATAATTTTGTACATTACACTTATTTGTATTAAGGCACATCTATCCTTTTTTGTTGAGTGATTACAAAATAGACTTTAAACAAAATTATTTGGATGAGTGTTTGCGAAATTCACATTAAGCTAAAGCAATGCTAATCGCTCACATTAGGACATATTTATATAATATAAAGAGTTGTCGGTTGTGTAATGTTAATAAACTTTCAAAGACCCAGCTTTTCTTCATATTGCGAGGTCCAAGTTATGAATTGTAACATATCCATTAAAATGATATGTTTTGCAACTGGTGTCATGTGGATAATGCTTGGAAGTTGTGATTGCGTAAGTATCATATTTTTATTCTTATATGTGCAAAGTTTAAGTTTTAATAGATAGGTGAGCTAGCACTGTAGCTTATTTAAAACTTGGTATATTACATTGTACGAACAAATCTTTGATGTTGTTGAGTCCCTTATGTATTGACAGAGAGATAATGCTGCTCTCGATGGGGTGGGGTTCAATTAAGAAATCTCGAGTGAGCTTCACGTTGTCAATGGCCTTACTGTGCTTTACGCCATCTTTCGTTTTCTGTCATTTTGAAATTAAATTGAAAGTTATATGACATTAAGAGATCGCTGTACCTAACAAACACCTAGTTTGTAATATTCCAGTGTGGTACTCTATAAAGTAATTGCATCTCTTCCTGGGCTTTTCCAGTAGTCCGCGTCACCAAATGTTAAAATTTTGTACAAATTGACTTCATTTGAAATATTTTCTAGTACACCCATCAGCCAGGCAATTCTAAAAATAGAGGACCCAATACAGTGCTGTGATTTTTCTTATTTCGTTTTAAAATTGACATCGTTTTTGAATGAGTAATTTAATTTGACTGCATTGCTATAACAGTTTTGTGTTTCAGCAGTTTGATATCGTATTGGTGTATAAAAAAAATAAATCACGGTTTCGCCTTCGTCAGGGATCCAACCGTAATTTTTATTGTGGCAAGATGGCTTTTGCAAGCAAAACATCAATACTTTAATGTTTAGCATATGCAATCATTGGATTTGTTTGAAAGATTTATTAGCATGGTTCATCTGCTGAAATTAATGACTAGGTTTTTTTAGTAATTTGGATTTCAGACGTTTAATGGTCTTATATTCTGCAAGAATAACTTGCTAAAAATATTAACCGCATATTATTTTAATACTTTTCGCAAATAATATAAAATATGAAATACGTCTAAATAAATGTCAATGATAAAATCATCTATTATTGTATAATGAAAAGCGGTCTGTGATTAGGTCTTCCATTCTACATTGGCGGATCTAGGAAATTTTATGAAAGGGACTGTTCAAAACTCTATCCCCCAACGAAATCGAAAAAAGAATTATAATGTAACATCTATAATTCTAAAAGTCTTAGACAAGTAGCTTTTAGATACATTTTTCATGAAGCATGTTTCTATTGTAGAACATTTTATTTTGGCAACATCATTTTTTCCCTGAAAAAAGGGGTTTTTTCCCCCTTTTTTTTAAAATAGGAGAATTCTTTTATGATGCCTTGTTATAATTGTATATTACATTTAATTTAAAAAAAAGTTTACGAGAAGGAAATTTTTGGAAGCACTCGATCTCGCATTAGTTCTCAAATAATTGTTATCGTCATAAAAAATGATGTACATGTAGATTATCTTTTTTCTCTTTTTTCTAGAGATCCTTCTTTCAAATCAATTCTGACACGAAAATCTTGAGAAAAAAATACGCCATTTCTTGCAAGATATAACACGTGACTGTGGTAGAAACAAACCCACAATTAGCTTAAGTTTATTTCTATGACGGACTTCCAAAACAATGCGGATTCTTGAAACGCCAAGTATAAAGCCCTTATATCTGAATGTATCGAAATCGATGAAGGATAGCAGAGTTACAGTGTATGGAGGATTCAAGTGCCCCGATGACACAACTGCAGAAATTGATGACGGAACGATTGTTAAATTTGACAAAGGTAAATTGTTTGTATAATGTTTAGTTTATCATTTTACTGGATAGACGTGTACAAGCATATAAGGTTGAATATTCAATTTCATATAGACAAAATTAGGGATTTGGTTGCCCATAATGTAAATTCAAGTTGTATCGCGTATGTTTAGTAAGACTAACGTGAAGAGCTGATCTGCCATTGTCGCCTTTGACGTCACAGGGTCAAGTGATCGCTATCTAATTAACTTGGATTTTTAAGGTAGCCGACTGGGGTTTTATTGTGTGAAAACTACTTTAGAGAAACTCTTTAATTTTATACCATATGTACCTTACATTGACTTCAGTATACATGCCAAGTTTAGTGAAAATCTACCATCTGGGTACTTTTAAGGGACCATCTCAAAATAGAGTTACATTTACTATAGGATTATATAGGAAAATACTATTTTTTTTCGCACTTTGGAGCAAATTATACAAATGCTTCAATAGACTTTTTGCTCAAATTATAGTATTTGATGAGTAACACTATATTGTACATTTTATGCAAGAAAAACTAAATTCTACCGTCTGGTTTCCAGAGTGGGCATCTCAAATTGTGAAAATTCATGATATTTTCTTGTTTTTATGGAGCACTACAATACATGACAGATATCACAGATTTATATAAAAATATAATAAAAGTGATTGTGAGTTTCTCAATTTCCTATGTTTAAAATTTCAAGAGCATCTATTTTATATTTTTTTTATTTCATGACATAATTTACGACCTCTTACTTTGAACATAGTCGAAAACAATTTCCGCCAGGACATGATGATTAGTATAACTTAATATATAGCGGAGGAGACTTTGCGATTTGCAGGATATGTATTTTGTTTGAACAATTGCATCCTTTTATCATAATTTTAGTTTAATCCAATATAACATTCTATTTTCAGTATTAAACTCTGGGGGAAGTTCAACAGACTTTGAATTGGTTTTAAATTATGATATGCGGAGATATTTGGCAAGACTAACGCTAAGCTCCAAATCTGCATCAGAATTTTTGCACATTTATTTGAGAGGGTTGGTAGACGACTCTGTACAGACCGACTTTACTGGAACAAACTGCTCTGTTGGAATAAACAGATCATCCGAAAGTCAAACCACTACGTACACTTCCGCTATTCAAAACTATAACAACGGCGTCGATGATAAATTTACAATTGGGTTGAATAAATCTGGAAAGATTATTCGACTTGATTCCAACATTTATTGCTACTCTTTAAATGCGGAATATAGGAAGTATTTTAAATCAAGATGTTCTATGTATGAATCCGAGGATCCTTTATATGTTACTTTCTACGAAGAAAAAATGGCCACTGACAATGTTGAACTCCTTTATCTCAATTACATGTTCAATCCCCTTGGACATTGTTCTCAGATATGCATTACAAACATGAAACGATGGTTTTTCTCAATCATTTAGCTTCATCAGCTATCAATTAAAAAAAAATCACTCGTTAAGCTTTTGACTATCTCTTCCTCTCGTTTGATTCATTAAAAAAAAAAAAAACATTTTTTTTTTAAGTCAAGTTTACGGATATAAATGACCAATCATGTAATTATTGAGTTGTGTTTTATTATACTGCATCGAGTAATTGATTGTTGAAAAAATAATAAAATAATATTATGATTCGTTTTTTTTTTCAGGTATATTGTTTGCATATTTATAGTTGTTTACATAACGGTTTTTAGTTGTTGTATGTAGTGTTAATTGCACATAAATAGTCATATCTTCCAAAGGCTTTAATGGCTAAGTGTGTTTACTTTTAGTGCTCTCTCTCTCTCTCTCTCTCTCTCTCTCTCTCTCTCTCAGGATTCAAGCGTATATTACCAAAAAAAAAAATTCTTAGCTCTAATATTCCCATGGATTTAGAGTTTAAAAGGCAACAAACAAATACTGGAATAATTAATTAAATCTAAATAAACATGAACATCCTAAAAATACATGAATAAATACATGAATTCGCAGTGCGGTAGGCTTCAATGAATTTGTATACATAATACTGTCATATTGAGAATTCATACAGCAAATAAGAAAAGAGACGATGAATTGTTGATTTGCTATTTTTTTTTAAATAAACATGTCGCTAGAATAAAAGCGTGTCTAGTTCTAGGTTTTATAAAAGTTTATATATCATATTTTGCTTTCAAAAACAGTTCTCGACATTTTTTTTCAGTGCATTTAAAAACTGAAATGAACACCACCGGGAAAGAAATATTCTTTTTTATTGTTTACTATGTGGGCATTGTATAAATTATCCAGTTGACCATTTGTTTTATTATGACATAATGCATCCAATATACAATTTGATTCAAAGATGAAGATGACCAACAAAATGAAATAAATAAGGGAACATAATTATACACAGTCGTCGTTATCAGCAAAACACAAAAGCATTCAAATTAGACTTTGAATAATTGAAAGTTGGAGCAGTCTCCTTAAATGCATAGGAGTAAGGAAGTGCGTGTCTGAAATCGGAATCTTGGATTTTATGAATTGAAAACAAACTCCATATATGGTATAATCTTTATTTCAGATTAAGCAATGCTGAAAATGCAAGAAGAAAAAAAAAATCTGATAAAACCATTTAAAAATCCTTCAGTAAATTTTGGCACGAAGAAAAAGTTAATATTGTCATTTTGTTTTTGTTTTTTTTTAATGAATTTTATGAATTGTTTATGAATCTTTAACATTCTTCGCTCTAAGGTCTTTTTTGTTATTATTAGCACTGGGGCACTGGGGTACACGTAACAAAAGATTAATAAGAACATTTCTATCCAGTCACACAGTGTTACCCATAACACGATTTTATACAATATTTATTTTACCAGTACATGTATGTATTTTTTCTTAATCTAAACCGAGACATCAATATGTATGGTATTTAGGACTTGATCCAATTAAAATGTACAATTCAGATTTGGATTTTCAATCAACTCTTCTTAAATTGTAACACCAAGACCTCTGTAATTGTTTGTATCATTTGGATTACTATTTTTGTAAAGTTATGTAATAAGTGAAAGGTTCCAATTCTTGGGCATGGTCCCATTTTTAAGAATAATATTGAACAATTTTGTGAGAACAGACACAAACACATCACTACCTGCTTTTACAAATTCATTCAAAATCAGATCTGGACCTGGACTTTTATCATTTTTTTTTAATTTCAGTTTACTTCTTTAACCTCATCTTGGGTGAATTCATAATCAGATAGAATGGTCGGGGTTCTAGATTAAAATTCTCATATTTGTACCTTTTTTTTCTTCAGGTGAATATTCTTTATTTAGCAGGGTTTATAATGATCAACAAAATCTTAATGTGGATTCTGCCTCTATCATTTTAATTTTATTTTCTTTGATTTTATTTCAGAAACTTTGAGATTTGTTTGCTGTTATTGAATTTATTTCTTCAGCAATTGTATTGCAATATTTCCATTTTAAGATGTTTTCTCAGTCTGTTGTAATTTTTCCTAATGTTTGAAAAAGCATGCTGCAATTCAGTATTGTTAGGATATAGTGAAACTTTTATGCCTGGATTTCTCACTTATTTTCTTAGTAATAAACAGTCATAATTAATCCACATTGATTTTTGTTTATTTTTCTTTTTGAAGTTTTTCTTAATTTTGTAGTTTTTAAAAGGTACACGTTTGTTAGCGGCAGTAATAATACTATAAATCATCTTTTCATTTATCTGATTTGTATCCCCTATACGTTCTTTATTCGCAACATCAAAAAATTTCTTAAACATTGATTTCTCTTTCGATATTTCTTTCCCGGAAAGATAATTTATGTATTGTGTTTCATAGAATTTCCCTTTCATAGTGTTCAACTTATATTTTTCTTTACAAAACAAGTCTGTATTCATCAGTATTCTAGTGTTATTAAAGCAATGATCAAAACTTTCTGATAGAGGCAATATCTTAAAGTGTTGTATTCTTTGATATAAATGACTAGAAGCCAACATATAATCAACTGTACGGAAACCATTAACATTATGAAAAGTTAAATATCCACGAGAATCTCCAAGAAATCTTTCATTATGTATAACTAATCCATATGTTTGCACATGGTATTTAACAATTGTCCATGTACGTTTGATTTTGTATCAAGTTGGTAACGTTTACACGATATTCCTCTTTCAAATATGTTCTTAGGTGAAGGGCAATCAAAAAAGGTGTCGATTATTGTATCATGTTTCATATAATCTTGAAGCCTTCCTGTCCTAGCATTTAAATCTCAACATATTAATACTTCACCTTTGCTTCTAAATCTCGACTATAACTACGTTTTTATTGTCACTATCTGTCTTCAGTTCAATGCTTTGAATACATGCACAGCGGAATGTAAAGTGATCATACATTCAAACTAAGTAACCAATCTTTTTCCCAATAGTCAACATTTTTAATGTTACATCTGAGTGATCAGTACATATAGGCTATGGTCTGTTTTTTAGTTAAGTATATTTGTAATGCCTTACTGAGATACAATAAAAGGTAAAAAAAAAAAATTAATATAGTGATTACAGAAAAAATTATCTATCGATGGATCGGTAAACATTATACAATTATTTTTGTTTTTGGGGTTAGAACGATTATTTAGACTACTGAGAAGTACAATATTCACTGAGCTCGAAGGGCGAAGTGAATATTTTTACTTCGAAGGTGTCTAAATCATCGCATTGATTGAAAAAGAAACCAGCAATATCTGTTTTGTTATATGATTCAATGATCAGATATGAAATAGATTAGTCTAGCAATCCATGCTTAAACGTTTCTGACTTGTTCACAATTCCCGGAGTCCCATTCAAACGCAATTAGAGGAGCATGGTTTTACCAGTTGTATTTATTTGGAAATTAATCTATATTAGGTGCAATGAAGAAGAAAAAATAAAGTCGAACACAGATGCATTTGTGTGACTTTGAAAAAAGGAGTGCATTATAAGAAAAAAAAAACTTGAAACTTACCTAAAAAAATCTTTGACCTGCTGTCCTCCCCCTTCCTCTAAAAAAAATTCTCCAAACTACAAATTGTATTTATTTTGGAGGGAAGGGATGTTAAGATGATATGGTCAATAAACGGAGAGAGGCCTCCTTTAAATGATAATGTTCATTCAAAGACTGCACCCCCATCTACACCCTAATTCTACATGCCGGATCACCTGATTGTAAGTAGGGTGCAAGTGAAATAACTTTTCTAAACCACTTGTGTAACAATGGAATTTCCCGATATTTTTTAGTCCTATGTAGAAACAATAAATTCTTTTGTTCACCTTGAAGGTCATGTACAGTTGAACATAATGTTACATTATTTCTTCACCGATGGGTTTCAGCCAATCAAGGAGCTACAGACCCTGAGACGTGCTACTTCCCCACACGCATGCTGCACGAACGGTACACGCTCGCTACACGGTTTGCAAGAAACGCTGCACGGTTTACACGAAACGCTACACGGTTTGCACGAAACGCTACACGGTTTACACGAAACGCTTTGCACGAAAGGCTGCACGGTTTACACGAAAGCCTGCACGAAACGCTTTGTACACGTTTCCCACACGCTTTGTACACGATTCTCGCACAGTTTGGCCTCGATCTCCATTTTCTATTTCGGAATCTCTCGGACTTTATTTCAATTATTACGGATTAATCAAAGATTAGTTTAGAATTGATCACTCAGATTAAGTTAAGATTAAAACTCGCTACACCAGTACTATATTAACAGATAAAATATTCGATGTTCAGTTGTAATTAATACATAGTTGTCAGTGAGTATGTGACCCGCCCGGTGAAATACTTATCGTCTGTGTACAAACCTTTTTTCACTAGACTCTGAATTACGCACTGAAAAAAAATATCATATTTGTAATTCATAATCTTTCACAGCATTTACTGTTTTTCCAATTATAATTTGATATTAAATAGTCGTTTTATTACTAACAAATAGACTCGGTTATTGATTTGAAGAAAAAAATGTTTCAATTGCGTATGATTTCTGTAAACGGATTGATTTTCTTTTCACCTTTTTTAATTATTGATTGGATTATACATTTTTTGATTTATTAAAAAAAAATCATTTGATAAAATTAGGTTCTGTTTATAATTTGCAAAGGTAATATGTAAACTGCATCTAACAGGAACATTGTGCAGGAAAAGGGGGGGGGGGGGAGGTAGATTACCGAGATCTTACTGTTGTATCTTCAAATCTGTACATGACTAAATATAACGGGCACTTGTTTCAAAAAGTATACCATCGGGGGAAAAATATTAAAGAAACAAGTGCCCCTTCTATGAAAAAAAAAGGATATCCATATCTCCAGCAGGACCCGATACATGTAATTCATTCAAAATGGTAAATATATCGTTTCATTACAGAGTTAAACTTATTTAATCATTAAAATTTTATATGGTAGAGAAGCCGGGGGCTAAGTATTGTAAT